GCCGCCCCCTAAGCTCTTGGGCTCTTCCAGCACGTCACCAAACCTCTGGGGGTCTGCTTCCTCAGTCTGCAACCAAGTGTCGGAATAAATGAGCCCTCAGGGCCCCTTGGGGCTGTGAGGAACGGGCTACAGACGCGTACGGGGCTCTGTGACAGGCGTGGGGTGAAGCGACCCCGCCACTGCCCCTGCATCCTGGGGCCCCAAGTCACAAGCTGCAGCCACCACCTGCTTCTCTCCATGGAGTGTAAAGCCCAGGAGGACAGATCGTTTCCCTTGTTCACCATGTATCCTGGGTGCCCAATAAGTACTAGGTTGGAACGGCACTTCTGTGTTTCAGTCCGTATTTGCCAAAAGGGGGAACGATACCGCGATGGTGGCCGAGGGGGACAGCAGGGCCCACGAGTGGGGAAAGGGACTGGGGGGCACGTCCCCCGCAGACGAGGGCCGGGTCCTGGGTTCTGCAGGAAGGAGCCGGCGTGGCCCAGAGAGAGGGGCTGCGAACACGTGGGGCCTCCCGAGATCTTTCTCTTTAACATCCCGCTGACCGCTGTGTGCAGAAGAGACGGGCACAGGAGCGAGCGGGGAGGCCAGTCCAAGGCCACAGAGGAAGGGACGGAGGGAGCAGGGCCGAGAGACAGAAGAGATGGAGGACCGGACACACGTGGACGACCACCTTCAGCTCTGCTCCCTGGAGCACGGCCACCCAACGGGACTTCCTGCTACGGGTGCATTTTCCGTCTGTACCGCCTGTTTGGTAGCCCCCGGGCACCTGTGTTATTGGGGCGCCTGGCATGTGGTCAGCGTTTCAATCTTATCATGTAAGCTGCCACACGTGGCTAATGGCTAATGCCCTGAACAGTGCAGCTCTGGAGGAGTGCTGGGTTTTAAAAGTTCAATGAGCCACGAAGTGTTACTTCTCCCAGAATGGGAGAAAATATTTGCAAATCACACATCTGATAAGGGTTTAATATTCACAATATATAAAGAACTCCTACACCTCAATGACAAAAAACCAAACAGCCCAATTAAAAAATGGGCAAAGAACTTGAATAGACACTTCTCCAAAGAAAATGTCCAAATGGTTGACACACACACGAAAAGGTGCTCAACATCTCTAGTCCTTAGGAAAATGCAAAGCAAAACCACAGCGAGATGCTGCTTCACAGCCATGAGGATGGCTACTACCAAAACCCCAGAAAATGACACAAGTGTTGAAGGGGGCGTGGGAACTGGAGCCCTTCCTTGTGCACTGTTGCTGGGGATGGAAAACGGTGCCGCTGCTGTGGAAAACAGTACGGAGGGTCCTCAAGAAATTAGAAATAAAACTGCCACACGATCCAGCAATTCCACACTGGGTGTATAACCCCAAAGAATTGAAAGCAGCAGCTCAAAGAGATGTTTGCACACCCACAATCATAGCAGCATTAATTCAACAGCTGAAAGGTGGAAGCGACCCGAGTGTCTATAGGTGGATGACGGATAAGCTACCCGTGGTCCCCACCCCTGCAACGGAACATCATTCAGCCTCAGCCAGGAAGGAAATCCTGCCACTGGCTCCAACATGGTGAACCTTGAGGACATGATGCTCAGTGACATAAGCGAGGCACAGAAGGGCACAAACTGTCTGATTCCACTCATGTGAGGTCCCAAGAGCTGTCAGATTCACAGACACAGGAGGTACGATGGAGATTATGCATCCCCTTGCATGAGGAGATGCTTACTGATGCCACCATGTGACAGGGAAACAGTAAAGAAGACGAGCTTCCTGAGGATGGAGACCGGGAGCTGGGCAGACGGCCACGCGGGCGCTGCACATCCCTTCACACTCCGTGCTGAGACCGCTTAGGACGAACTCGCGGCCGACGCGAGCTTAAAAGGCATCTCCAGGCGCACCTGCCGACTCGGGCTGGCACCCCATGTCATACCATGAAATCCCAGTCCTGCTGCAGTTCCTGCCAAACGAAAGGAACGGGCCCCCCAGGACAGTCCAGGGCTGCGGACACCCCAGGAGCCAGGAGGCTCAGGGTGGCACGGCCAGCTTCCCAGAGGTGGGGCTTCCTCCGTGGCCCCCGGTGAGGGACAGCCAGTGAGGCCACCCCCGGGTGGCCCAGCACATGTGATCCTCGGAAAGCCCCACCATCCGCCTGGCGCTCTCCATTTGTTTGAAAATTGTGGTGAAATATGAAAAACCCTGGGCAAAGAGAGGTCACGGACAAAAATGTAAAAGGCACAAGCTTGGAAAATATCTCGGCTGCAAAACCAACATTGCTACGTTTGAGCTCAGTCTCTAGGTGAGAGAGGAATGCTACCAAACCCTGATTCTGACCCAAAGTATTAGCCTGAGTTAGACGTGTGTTCGCAGCCACAAGAAAAATGTGTGGAAGAATTTTACAGGTTGACCCCTGACTTTCCCGCCACAAACCCGGGCAGAGAACCAGCCCCCCAACTCAGACTTCAAACCGCATCCTGTCTGCTCGCTGACAGACCAGACAGTGCCGAAAGCCCCTTATGATTCCTGCTGTATCAAAGGCTTTACTCCCCGAAGCCCGTGTGCCCGGCCCAGGCTCCAGGTTGTGGCTGGCTGGGCTGCCCGAGTGTCCCCGGCCAGCCTCAGAGCCCAGGGCCGACGCAGGCGCCGGGCTGCAGGAGAGCTTGGGAGAGGCATTCTTCGGTCCTCCTGCAATTCATTCCTTTAAGAAAAAGGGTATGGGAAGAAAGGTTTCGTGTCCAGGCCCAGAGCCTTTGATCATTTGATGAACGCGGGCCGGCAGTATGGGCCTCCGGCTTCTCAGGCCAGACAAAGGTGGCCCTGGCCGCCCGGCCCTGCAAGCCTGGCCCAGAACAAAACCCCGGCGGCCGCTCGCCGGGGCGGCCTGGGAAAGGCCCATCTCGCAGGCCGAGGGGCCGCCCTGCCCTTTGATCTGTCCCGAGACTGCAGCCTGGGCCCCGGGTCAGGGGATTTCACAGCGCGGGCCCCCGGGCAGAGGGGAGCAGGTCAGGGGCAGAATGAGGGGTGACCAATCTCTGAAAGAGCCTGGAGACCGCCCTCCCGGGTCAGTTCCACATGGCTGGGCTCGCACTGTTGCCGCAGCCGAGCCTCAAGTGGGATTTGACAAGGCGGGGCAGGCACCTCGGGCCCAGGGGCAGGCGGGGCGGGGGGCAGCCGGGATGGGAGTCGGCCCCGCCCCCGGGGCTGCGGCACTGTCCTGCTCCAGGTGCCCTCACACCTGCTGGGTGGACACCCGGGTATTCCCCCCGGCCCCGGTACCGGTACCGCTGGGGCGCCTGTCCTTGGGACGAGCCGGGTGCCATGCCACACGGTGTATACACAGTGGGTTCCTGTGTCACTTGCTTACACACAAAGGCGGCACCTCAAACACGCGAGGGGATCTGCATTCTCGGAAGGCATTTGGTTTGATAGACGGGGAAACGCTACATGTGACAGCAGACAGGGGAGCAGGATGGGGGAGAAGCAGGAATTCCGCTGTGGGCTGCCGGCTCGTAGTGACGGCCCATTTGCAAATGAAGAGACAGAGACAGTCGATGGGACACAGCAGCATTACTGGACGGGGAACAAATGACCTTTCCGCCAAAAAAGTTAGCTTTTTGGATCTAAGGCCAAAACATGTTATTAAAAAGCACCGTCAGAGCATTTGCTTTTGCTTCGTTGTTTCTTTGTTTGCACATCACAGCTTGGAGCTACTTCAGGGCGTGAAATACGGTCTCTGGTGGTGTGAGCCCGGCCCACTGTCCCGCACCCCTGCCTCCCCGCCCCGGAGCCGGCAGGGAGCCTGCGGCACCAAGAGGGGCCAGTCCTGGGTCCCGGCTGGTCATATGCTTACTAGCTGTAGGGCTGGTAACGCTCAAGCTCTCTAGTCCTTGTGTGTAACACAATGGCTATTATTTTATCCTCACACGTCGATATCCTTGGGCTAAGGATGTGATCTGTTTTTCTTTTAACCAGGAGAAATGGGGTAAGAAAGATGCCTATCTCAGAGTTGCTGACAGTGGTGTGGCAATGTATAGAAGTCCATTTCTGTAGTCAGCGTCTGCTCTTATTGCCAGGCAAAGGATGAAGGGTGGGCGTCCTGGAAGGTGGGTGCCCTAGCTAAGAACACACGTGTGCGTGTGTGCATGAGTGTGTGTCAATGTAGAGAGGAAGACGTTTTCACAGGTGGGAAGGAGACTGTAAGACGTCACTCATCGCAGTGTTTCCTGCCCAAGTTCCCTGGAGGCTGACAGGCATCTCAAGAACAAGGAAGTGCCTTTTCAGGTCAGGTTAGGGTCTCCCTGCTGACATGTGCGTGGTTCTCCCAGAGGCGGGTCCGAGAGAATCTTCTCCCAGTTGACTATGGAGCGCACTCTGGCCTCTAAGGGGACACCTCACGGGTTTGTTCTGTGGACCACGCTTGGGGAGCCGCCAGCCCCGTTTGGTCCCTGTACTCTCATGGGTTAAACTCCACCCAAGCCATGAACTCATCCCAGGTCTGTGCTCAGATCACAGCACTCTAACCCCAGGTCCCCGGACACTGTCTTTAGGAGGAAAAGGCCCAGGACGACGGAGAGCGATTCATGTGCTAAAACGATGTTACAAAGGGGCGTCCAAAGGTGACCTATTCTAGAGACACTCACTCCAAGAGATTTTAGGTGGCTCTGAATTTTGCAGATATAGTTTGAATAACAGGGAGGATTTAAGGCTATTCTGAGCTGCTGAAACGCTGGAAGATCAGGGCTGCCTTCTCCTCACTCCTGGTGTTAACACAGGACGTCCTCAGCGAGCACTCATGCGTCACCGACTGTGTGCTGAGGCCAGTGCGCGACCCCGGGCGGAGGAGGTGACGAAGGAGGAACCTTAGAAATGAACGCGCTTTGCCGCAAACAGCCTTCCTGCGGCTCAGGCTAATTTTCCCCAAGGATTTCTGTGACTACTGCACCGAGGTTGCCATGGCAACCCCATCTGGCTCTGAGACACAACAAAGCAGCCCCGCTCTGAGTCTTACCTTTGGCCATCTTATTGAGAACCATGTCGATCAGGATGTAGGTGCCGCTCCTGCCCGCGCCGTCACTGTCAATAGAAGGAGAGAGATGAGGACACAACGCACCATGCTGTCCCCACTCCCCACATGCCAACGATGGCATCTTGCCTCTGTGCTCAAGGGGGGCCTATGAGAGGAGAGGAGGGCAGGGTGGAGAATTGGAGAGGAAGAGAAAGAAAGGGGGTGAGGGGGGTCAGGGTGGGAGAGGGGAGGAGGATAGGAATGGAGGGGGAGGAGGAGGAGGGGAGGGGAGGGGAGGGGGGAGGAG